CCGGGCTGGATTTGAACCCACCACCTTAGGTGTATGTGGCTGGCGCCTTTGCCACTTGAGCCACAGGTGCTGAGCCAATTTTCTGATTTTTCAAGGATCATTTCTAGTTTTATGAATTACTGTTTTGTTACCAGATAGAGAACACTCCTGTTTCAAGAACTGCTATGGGACTTGATGAACATTGCCTTAGGGAAATAATTTTGGAATACGATAAACAAAGGCAACATTATAATTATTGAACACTTTAAATTCTCAATAAAATAGAATGAGAAATATTGATTTAGTAATGTTTTTTTTGAGACAGAGTCTCATTATGTTACCTTCAGTAGAGTGCGGTGGTGTCACAGCTCACAGCAACCTCAGACTCTTGGGCTTAAGAGATTGTCTTGCCTCAGCCTCCCAAGTAGCTGAGACTACAGGTACCCACCACAACGCCCAGCTATTTTTTTTGTTATTGCAGTTGTCGTTATTTAGCAGGCCCAGGCCAGGTTCGAACCCACCACCCTCGGTGCCTGTGCCTGGTGCCATAACCACTGTGCTACGGGCACCACTTGTGATTTAGTAATTTTTATATTAAATAAAAAGATTTAAGTACCCCTTTACAATACTTAATCCGTAATTCTCATGATTAAATTGCTTATTCATCTGCCTCTCTTCAATCCAGTTGAGGACACATGAAGGCAGGACTTGTCTGATGAAATTATAGTATCTTGTATCCATCATATTAATAGGGTAGCCCCCATGTGAAGAGCGGCTGCGCACCCAGGTACCAGTTCTAGTACTGAGAAGTACCTAAAAAAGTAAAGCAAGAAGGATAAATACATGTCCATCACTTTGTGGTATTTTTCTTCAATGTCTTTCAAATGGGCTTATAACATTCTGGCCTTATAACAACAGAGGATTGGGTCAGGCACAGTGGCTCACACCTGTAATCCTAGCAATCTAGGAGGCCAAGGCGGGTGGATTACCTGACCTCAGGAGTTCAAGACCAGCCTGAGCAAATGTGAGATCCTGTCTCTAAAAATAGCTGGGCATTGTGGAGGATGCCTGTAGTCCCAGCTACTCAGGAGGCTTAGGCAGGAGGCTCTCTTGTGCCTAAGAGTTTGAGGTTCCTGTGAACTATGATGCTACAGTGCTCAATCCAGGGCGACAAAGTTAGACTCTATCACAAAAACAGAACAACACCACCACAAAAAAAGCAGAAGAAAACAAAACAAAACAAAGGATTGGTGAATTCATGCACAAATCTATATATATGACTGTCTGTTCATATGCCATTTTTCTTGAAACTCATTTTACCTAATCTTTATATGTTAAGTATTTTTATTATGTGTCTAGAATTATAAACATAGAATTCTAATATTTGTAGATATATGGTATTAATCAGAAATTTTTTTACATGTAAGTAATGTCAAATTAATTAATTAGTTAATTAGTTTATTGGGGCACAATCTCACTCTGTTGCCCTGGGAATGCCATGGCATTGTAGCTCACAGAAACCTCAAACTCTTGGGCTCATGTGATCCTCTTGCCTCAAACTTCCCAGTAGCTAGAACTATAGGCATCTTCCACAATGCTTGACTAGTTTTTCTAATTTTTTTTTTTACTACCGATGGGGGCCTTGCTCTTGCTCAGGCTAGTCTTGAACTCTTGAACTCAAACAATCCACCAGCCTTGCCCTCCCAGGGTGCCAGGATTATGGGCATGAACCATCTTGCCCCACCCAATAATGCAGAATTTTTTTTTTTTTTTATTTTTTGAGACAGAGCCTCAAGCTATCCCCCTGGGTAGAGTGCTGTGGTATCACAGCTCACAGCAACCTCCAACTCCTAGGCTCAAGTGAGTCTCCTGCCTCAGCATCCCAGATAGCTGGGACCACAGGCACCCACCACAGTGCCTAGCTATTTTTTGGTTGCCGCCATCATTGTTGTTTGGTGGGCCCGGGCTGGTTTCGAACCCGCCACCTTAGGTGTATGCGGCTGGCGCCTTAGCCACTTGAGCCATAGGCGCCGAGCCTAATGCAGAATTTAAAGTGAAGTTTAGGAAAACAATTTTAACTGAATTAAATAAAAATCTAGTCTTACCAGATCTAATCATTGTCTTATCTTTTTAAACTTCATATTAATATCAGGGTACTAATCACTGTCTTATAATTTATGCTAAAGTAGAATAGATTTTTAATTTATGAATCTCAGATTGGAAATTCTAAAATTATTATGTATACTTCTTGGGCAAGGTGAAAGCTGCTTTTATCTTAAAATGATGTACAAATCTGACTACTAATAGAAAATTTGGAGACATTCGGAGAATCAGCCTCCCCTTTCTATTCTTACACAGGGTTTTTGCCAAAATGGCAAACAGAGAGTCATTCAAGGAAAGACAATTGATTTGGACCAAGCAATTTGCCCATTTAGTCCTGTTCCTTAAGAAGCATTTCTGAAAAATGCCTAGTGGTCTGGCATCCACACATTTTCCTAGGTCCTTTCTGGAAATGGTTCAATTCTGTAAAGCATGGCTTTTTAACTAGTTCAGGGACGTCCACAGGTGGCCTTAAGGATTCTCAGGGAATTTTTTTTCCCCTTACACTTTGCATAATTTAGCAATTGGCCAGTGTGTTCTAGTTTTGAATACCTCTCCCCTGCCACCATAAACAATGACACAGAGTGGCGTACCTCAGCTGCTGTTCGGCTGAGCTCCACAGCAACGTCTCCTCCCGTGTTCCCAAGACCGATCACCAAGACGCGTTTGCCTTGAAAGCCTTCTGGGGTCTTGTACTCTTGACTGTGCAGAATCTGGCCTTTGAACTTATGGATTCCTGAGGGGAGGGAAGGATCAGAAAATCCGAAATATCTGAAGCCATAATTTTCCAGTATGCAGGGATGGGGTCTGTGGGAAAAGGGAAGTCCCAGAAATACGGCAGCCCTTTACTCCCACCAGTACTTTCAGAAGGCAGAACAAGCCTATAACTTCCTTCTCCTCTGGGATGTTGTCAGGCCAGATGTAGATTCAGTGTAACTCACCTTGCTAAAGACATAAGTGATCTTCTATTCCACGTGAGTGTTCCCTTTGAAAGCAATTACTTGGGAGATCAAACTTACTGAAGACAAGTAATAAGAAGCATCTTATGTATTAACCTGAACATCCTGGGCAAGAGGTGGATTGTTTCTAGCTCTGTGTCATCGTAGCCATTCCCATTAAGCCCTGTATCCAGTTGGGATTTCTCCCAGACCACTATGCTCATATCGAAATACTTACTTGACATCTTGCTTTGGATACTGAATAAACATCTCCAAACAAAACAAAAGGTAAGTTGCAGACATTTTACCCAATAGATATCACATTAGAATGTGATTTGTGTATATGTAGTATGTTTACAAATTGAATTTTAATTCAGTTAAAAATTTTCATAGAAGAAATTCCTTGGCAAGTGCTTTTTGTAAGAAATCACAACTGTGAGCGGTGCCTGTGGCTCAGTGAGTAGGGCGCCGGCCCCATATACTGAGGGTGGCAGGTTCAAACCCAGCCCTAGCCAAACTGCAACAAAAAAATAGCCTAGTGTTGTGGCAAGCACCTGTAGGCCCAGCTACTCTGGAGACTGAGGCAAGAGAATTGGCTAAGCCCAGGAGTTGGAGGTTGCTGTGAGCTGTGTGACGCCACGGCACTCTACCAAGGGCAATAAAGTGAGACTCTATCTCAAAAAAAAAAAAAAAATCACAACTGTTTGATTTTAGCTCATGTTACCAATACTTTATGCTGTACTATATGTTTAATGCTTTGTTACAATACATGCTTATTTGTACTTTATTCTTATGTTATGCTTGTTTCTGATAACCTTTCATGAAGCCCCAGCACTCTTTCAATAGAAATGTAGCTATTATGCTATTTATATACACATGTGTGTGAAAGGCTACCAAATATTTTCCTTTTGGTTTATTTTTGGTAATTATCCCCTTGGCTAATGTCAGCCATGGATTCACATGCACTGAGAATAGTAGCAGCAGCGTAAGTAGGGGTGTTCACAGTGGAAGCAGCAGCAACAGAAATTATGAGAGGTGACGGGACACAATGGTGATGAGGCCAGGGACAGGTGAGACGAAGCATTGTGAAAAAATTAGAAGGATTTATATATACTTTTTTATACATATGTGTGTATATATATATATATATATATTTTTTGAGACAGTGTCACTACACTCAGAGTGTCACTACACTGCCCTCGGTAGAGTGCATGGTGTCACAGCTCACAGCAACCTCAAACCTCAGACTCTTGGGCTTAAGCGATTCTTTTGCCTCAGCCTCCCAAGTAGCTGTAGCTACAGGTGCCCACCACAATGCCTGGCTATTTTTTGGTTGCAGTTGTCATTTGTTGTTTAGCAGGCCTGGGCCGGGTTCAAACCCGCCAGCCTGGGTGTATGTGGCTGGCACCATAACCACGGCTATGGGTGCCGAGCCAGAATCAGAAAGATAAAGCTTAGCAGATGAGACGACCAGACAAACTCCCACCCCAATGCTTCAAGTGCTTCTGAAGCTTTACTGTATAAAGATTAAACTGTCTTCTAGAGTATATCACTCTCCTAGTATTCAGTCATTGATTTATTCATTTACTCTGTAACATTTATTCAAACAGCTACAATATATAACAAAATGTTTTAATCGGATTCTCTGCCTGTGGAGGCCCCCAATGGTAGGAAAATAATAGCTATTGCATTGCAAGTGAATCTTTAAACAGTTGCATACCAATAAGGGGACCAACCCCACCGAGGGATTGTTTTGTACCTCTATTTAAGCAGGAGAACAGAACATGTACAAACAAACCACCTGTCCCTGACACCCCTATTGGTATGTGACTGCACCTAACTATGCTGAATTTGCAGAGAATGTGTATGCAGGCCAGTTTTGCAGTTCTTAGCCTCACACCTACTTTGGAGGTCTAAAATTGTTGAAGTTAGCTGGCACGGTGGTGCACACCTGTAGTCCCAGACTCCAGAGGCTGATGTGGGAGGATCACTTTAGCTCAGGAAGTTGGAGGCTGCAGTGGGCTATGTTTGTGCTGTTGTTCTCCAGCCTGGGTGACAAAGTGAGAACCCCCACCTCTAAAAAACCCCAAAATAATGAATACAAATAAATTTTTAAAACCATTAAATAATTAAAATGGTTGCAGTTGCAGTTGCTGGGAGTTGGAAGTTGGACAATTTCCTGAATAATTTTTACAGTGCTGTGGCACTTTCTGTGATGTTGCCACGGAGCCAGGTGTGAGGCGATCAAGGAGACCACACTGACGTTGACTCTTGGAGTGTATGGGGCATGAAGTGGAAACTGCCTGGGACTTCATTTCACCCACAAGTCCCACAGACCAGGCCTGCAGGGGTATTAAAGGATGAAATGCAGTTAGCTAATGACGGTACCTTCCACAGCCTCCCCTTTAAACACTGTATACTCCAAGTGCTGTGTTATGTCTAAGGAATGTGAGGATAAGAGGCAGTCTCTATCTTCAAGGAATTTGCCCTCTGGTAGGGGAGAGAGTTAAGTGAACAGACAATAGCTAACATTTTTTTAGGCCTTGTTATGCAAATCCCCTATGCTCTGTTAGAGCTTTATACAGATTAACTAATTTTAACCTCACCTCAGTCTCATAGGTGGATGTATCCCCACCACCCAGCCAGAGACACGGTCTTGGTGTGCCGCCCAGGCTGCCGGGAAGTGGTGTGATCATGGCCATATTTTTATGGTTTTACCAAAGCTGAGGTTGAGGCTGGGAGACTAAGAAACTTGTCCATATGGGCACTCAACGTGTCTGACTCCAGAGCTCAGCAGTCGGGCGCTGACACTACACTGCCTTTAGAGAGGCAGGGTTATGTCAGCCCCAGTGCAGCATCCAGCCTGGGCTCAGCCAGGAAGATGTTCTGGAGGAGGTGACTTTTTTTCTTTTAAAGGAAGAAATTTGAAGGATGGTTAGAATTGGAAAAGGGGATCACTTAGAGGGTTCTAAGAACTCAGAACAATATACATCAAATGCATTCAGAATATACATCAATGCATTTGCTGAGGTTTTTGGGGGGAATGAGTTGAGGGTTCAACTTGAGCTCATAGAGTTTGTATCTTTCACATTACCTAACAGACTGCCTTGCAAATGATAGGTTCTCTGTAACTGCATTTTTTTTGAGACAGAGTTTCGCTATGCTCTCAGGCTGGTCTTGAACTCCTGAGCTCAGGGCAATCCACCTGCCCTGGCCTGAGCCACTGCGCCCTGCCTGAAAGTTTTATTTTTCACAGTTTTCCTTCCTTAAATGGTCTTCCAGTTCTTCAAAGGGATTCCAAAGCCTCACTTAATCAATTGCCTTTATTTTTATTTTATTTATTTATTTTGAGACAGAGCCTCAAGCTGTCCCCCTGGGTAGAGTGCCGTAGCATCACAGCTCACAGCAACCTCTAACTCCTAGGCTCAAGCTCTTGCCTCAGCCTCTCAAGTAGCTGGGACCACAAGCGCCTGCCACAATGCCTGGTTGGTTTTTATTTTTATTTTTTTTTTGGTTGCAGCAGTCATTGTTGTTTGGTGGCCCAGGCTGGATTCAAACCCACCACCTTAGGTGTATGTGGCTGGTGCCTTCGCCACTTGAGCCACAGGCACCGAGCCAATCAATTGCCTTTAGGGCCGCTGATACGCTTACATGACAGAAGAGTAGCTTTGCTACATTTTGATAATCCTCATTTGAGCAATTTTATTCCCCTCATCTGAATTTGAATAGCTTTTAGCTTCCTAAATAGTTAATTTTCACCTCAAAAAGTAGAGGTTGTGAAGTACAAATAAATATACTAATATTAAAAGGAATATGTTGTAAGAGCCTAAAGCATTTCCAAAAGGAAATTTCCTTTTTCTTTTGAGACAGAGTCTCACCATGTCGCCCTCAGTAGAGTGCTGTGGTATCACAGCTCACAGCAACTTCCAACTCTTGGGCTTAAGGGATTCTCTTGCCTCAGCCTCCCAAGTAGCTGGGACTACAGGTACCCAGCACAATTCCCAACTATTTTTTTTTGTTGTTGTTGTTGCAGTTGTCATTGTTGTTTAGCTGGTCCAGTCCGGATTTGAACCTCTCACCCTTGGTGCATGTGGCTGGTGCCATAACCACTGTGCTATGGGTGCTGAACCAAAAGGAAATTTCTTTTTTTTTTTTTTCCTTTTTGAGACAGAGCCTCAAGCTGTCCCCCCGGGTATAGTGCCGTGGCAGCACAGCTCACAGCAACCTCTAACTCCTGGGCTCAAGCGAGTCTCCTAACTCTGCCTCCCAAGTAGCTGGGACCACAGGCGCCCGCCACAACACCTGGCTGTTTTTTGGTTGCAGCCATCACTGTTATTTGGTGGGCCAGGGCTGGATTCGAACCCGCCACCTTAGGTGTATGTGGCTGGCGCCTTAGCCACTTGAGCCACAGGTGCCGAGCCCAAAAGGAAATTTCTAAAACGGCTTTTTGTGGATAGCCCTGGTGTAAGAGGTATATGGATTATTATTGTGTTGACTATTTTGAGGAGTGAATATATTCCTTTGCATGCATAACTTCCAGTTTGTTTCTTTAAAAAAAAATCTGTCAAGTTTTCTTATACTCTTACTTCCTTGAAGTCTTATTTTTTGTATTTTTCCTTTTTGAGATAGGGTCTCACTAAGTTGCCCAGGTCAGCCCTTAAACTCTTGGGCTCAAGAGACCCTCCCATCTCAGCCACTCAAGTATTGGGGACTACAGGTGGCACAGGACTGCACCATTCAGGGCTGGACAGGGATTTCCTCATTCTCTAGGCCTAGGCGAGCTCAGAAATCAGACCTCCATTTCCAGGCATAAACAGGCTGACTTTTCTAGGACACACCCTCTGGGCTCTAACAAGATCATGAACAAAGCAGGCTGAGATGGTTTTTTGGGTGGTTCTACTTTAAGTAGGGAATACATATCATAATCCCTTCCCTGAGACAAAAACTGCAAAGACCTAATAACCTTGCCCCAGCACAGGGGAGGGACTATATTCAACTTTGAAAGGATATTTTTCAACTTACCAAATCCTAGCCAAAATGTAATTCTCCAGACAATATATACCCCTAGATCAGTGGTTCTCCAACTTTCCTAAAGCCACAGCCCTTTAACACAGTTCCTGTGGGTCGCGACCCACAGGTTGAGAACCGCTGCCATACACAAAGGACATGAGAAAGATTTCCAAAGTGGGTCTTCCCCTTTGCCAGAGGCTCTGGTGCCTTTTTTACTGTTTCCATATTCCTTTCTGTCTAATAAAATCCTATCTTAACACTGACCTGTGGTCCGGGGTTCATTTAATCCCTGAAACCAGGGACCTACTGAAGAAGAAATTCCGGTATCACAGGTGTGTGCCACTGCGCCCAGCTTAAGTTTTTGATTTTTTTTTTTCCTACCTTCCTTCCTTCCTTCCTTTCTTCCTCCCTTCCTCCCCTTCCTTCCCTTTTTTTTTTTTTTTTGAAACAGAGCCTAAAGTTATTTTTTGAGACAGAGCCTAAAGCTGAGCCTAAGGCCTGGGTAGAGTGTCATGGCTTCACTGCTCACAGCAACCTCCAACTCCTGGGCTCAAGCGAGTCTCCTGTCTCAGCCTTCCAAGTTGCTGGGACCACAGGCACCTGCCACGGCGCCCGGCTATTTTTTGGTTGCAGCCATTATTGTTGTTTGGCAGGCCCGGGCTGGATTGGAACCTGCCACCTTAGGTGTATGTGGCTGGCTTGAGCCACAGGCGCCGAGCCGCCCTTTCTTTCTTTCTAAAGCATCAGGTTAGAGAAAAGAACTTAAGTTTTTGAATTATAGGTCAGTCTTGATTCAAATGGCTTGTAATTCAACACCCAAAGCAAAGCTTGTTTTTTTCTATTCCGTGATAGAGTCTTACACAATCACTCAATTTGGATTAGTACACATGATAAAGCTCCCAAGACTGTCTGACCTGCAGGTCGTAGGCTGAATGCAGATTATTTGCTTATATCATGAAAATTATGCATGGGGCTTTTTTTGCTCATCATCTTTCATGAGTGTTTGTGTATTTTTAATCTGTGGCCTAAGACAACTCTTTTTCCAATGTGCAGCAGAAAAAAAAAAAAAAGGTTGGACATCCTTAGGACCTGATGCCTACATAGTTCTTTTACTTTTCAAAGTAATTTTGTACGTACTATTTTTAAGAGTGAATATGAAGTCATTTATCATCACAGGGAAATAGTTCTAGTTACAAATCAATAACTTTTCTTCCAGAAGAACCCAGAAGAGTAAGCCTGGTCTTAGGTAGAAGTAACTTAAGAGGAACCCAGAGAGGAGGCAGGGTCTCTGGGAAAAATGCCTGGCGAGGTTTGGTTAGGTAGTGGCGGGTTCTCCTAACTTGCTAACACGAGCATCAGTGAAGTTGGTATATACAGCTCTCCACTGCTAACCTGCTAAATCTGACTGGCGTATGTGCACAAGAAAAAAATAAAAGAGAAAGAAAGAAGACACGACTCACCAGAAAAGGACTCCAAAGGTAGACGGGGATTCAGGAAATGCCCAGTGCAAACCATGACAGCGTCAAAAGTAGCTCTCTCCTGCTTACCCTCTGTCTCGGTGACAACATCCCACTGACCGGTGTTGGAGAAGTCTGGGTGCTTCGTGACGCTGCACACGGTGGTCTGAAAGCAAAAGACAAACATTCACTTCGAGGAACAACATTAGCCCTCAGGCAGTGACTGGAGTGGTAACTGTGTCTGCCACTTAAGTTGGCCAAATGCCATGATGAGGAGTCTATCAATACTGATGTATCATCTCCTCAGAGACCATAAGTAACTTGTGCAAACTGTCGAAAGTGATAATAGAGACTTGGACCCAAGACATTTGAGTCTGTTCATTGAAAGGAAGAAACAGTTTTTATTCCTGGTGAGAAAGAGATGAGATGAGTTATAATACTTTATGGTAATGAGTTTTGCCCCACTATAATTTCTGCATCGTAAACAAGATTCCTTTTTTTTTTTTTTTTGAGACAGAGTGTTACTCTGTTGCCCTCTGCTAGAGTGCCAGGGTGTTAGCTGAGCTCATAGCAACCTCCAACTCCTGGGCTCAGGAGATCCTCTGGGATAACAGGCACCTGCCACAATGGCCAGCTAATTTTTCTATCTTTAGTCGAGAACAGAGTCTCACTCTTACTTAGGCTGGTCTTCAACTCCTGAGCTCAAACAATCCACTCCCCTTGGCCTCTAGAGTGCTAGGATTACAGGCATGAGCTACTGTACTCGGCCATAAACAAGACTCTTTTTCCTTTCCTTTAAAAAATATTTTAAAATTTTATCCTGAATGAGAATTTGCATTCAGAGGAGAAATCAGGAAATTCAGTCTTTTAATGCTCAATTTATATAAGACATGAGCATCAGACAGACATGAAGAATCTTTAATATCTGCCTCATTTATGCACAGAGATCAAATCAAGAAAATGTTGACTTGTGCATCCCAGTCCCTTAGACTGCTGAACAGACAGGCCGCCACTCATCAACCTTCCATAACTCCAAGTATCGTACCTTAAATTGAATGTATTTCAGGAGATCAAAGTGCTCAGCAAATTCTTGGAGATAGTTCCAAAATTTTTCTTGGCTCATGAAATTGGGATAATCTTCTCGGAAAGGGAAGTCACTGTAACACGACATTTCCTTGCAGACATTTGTTATTAATGATCTGTAGACCCGGGTCATCCCATCTTTAGAAGATTCCTGTGGTGAAGGCATAGTTAGCTGGACAGAATGATGGACACAGCAGAAAGAGCACAGAGATCAAGGAGGCTCATGCCAGTCCAGCTGAGAGGGGTGTCACGGCAGTTAGTATTCTATTTGTAATTATAAAGAGTTCCAGGAACCTCAACGTTGGGTGTCCCTGCTGTAATTATTAGAATTCATGGGTGGGGTTGGAATAGTTAGATACAATAGCTGTCTCAAACCACAAAGAAGCTAATGAAATTGCTAGCTTTGTCCTTAAGCAAGTTCCTGAATGCAAGGTCTGAGGTCTGTCTTGGTCATCTTTCCCTTGCCATGGCCACTCCCTCGGCTCATGCTCTGGACATCCTCCTCTTTGGCTTTCTTTGTGGAGTCTCTTACTGATTTTTCTCATTCTGGTCTCTCTATATTCTCAGGCACCCTCTCTTTATCAACTCCTTCCATTAGCACTTAAAATATAAAAGATTCTAACTTTAAAACAAAACACCCTTCCCCAACCTCTGTCCCCTTTCAGCTCTGTCTCTCTTTGTGCTATCGCAGTCTTCATGAAAGAATTGCCAAATATTGGCGGCCTCAGTTTTCTCACACACTCCTCAACTTGTCATCTTGGGCTTCATCACTCACAAACAAAACAACAAAACAGAAAGCTCTGTATTAAAGGCACCAGTGAACATCTTACGGCTGAGGCTGATTTCTTTTCTCCCTCAAGTCTTTCTTAGCTGTCACTTGGAAGCCTTCCATGAGGCTTAAAGTAACTGATGTGGCCCCACTGGACCCTGTATTTCTAACACTGAACGGATTGTTTTTGTTGTAATTATCAGTTCATTGTTTCTGGTCCCCACTACTCTGTGAGGAGGGCAGGGGCCCCCTATACCTTGTTCTCCATTGTGTCCTAGCAGAAGGACATGATAAGGACTTGTTGAATGCATGAAAATTAATATAATAATTTTTTTTTTGGAGACAGAGTTTCACTTTGTCACCCTTAGTAGAGTGCTGTGGTGTCACAGCTCACAGCAACCTCAAACTCTTGAGCGTAAGTGATTCTCTTGCCTCAGCCTCCCAAGTAGCTGGGACTACAGGTGCCTGCTACAGTGCCTGGCTATTTTTTGTCACAGTTGTCATTGTTCAAACCCAGGCCGGCTTCGAACCCGCCAGCCTTGGTGTATGTGGCTGGTGCCATAACCACTGTGCTATGGGCACTGAGCCAATATAATATTTTTGAAAAAAGTAGTACAGAATCTGTGGGTTCTTTATGGATTCAACCAACCAAGGATTGAAAGTATTTGGAGTAAAAAATGGATATTTCCATCTCTATTGAACTTGTACAGACTTTTCTTTTCTTTTTTTTTTTTTGAGACGGAGCCTCAAGCTATCCCCCTGGGAGAGTGCCATGGCATCACGCTCACAGCAACCTCCAACTCCTGGGCTCAAGCGAGTCTCCTGCCTCCGCCTCCCAAGTAGCTGGGACCACAGGCACCCGCCACAATGCCTGGCCATTTTTTTTTGGTTGCAGCCATCATTGTTTGGCAGGCCCGGGCTGGGGATTCGAACCCGCCACCTTAGGTGTATGTGGCTGGCGCCTTAGCCGCTTGAGCCACAGGCACCGAGCCCAGACTTTTCTTTAATTTTTATTATTCCCTAAACTTTATAGTATAACAACTATATAATAATTGTTTTATATTAGCTATTATAAGTAATCTAAAGATGATTTAAAGTATACAGGAGAGTTTGCGTACATTATGTTTTACATAACCATTTCATATAAGAGACCTGAGTGCTCATGGATTTTGGTATCTGCTGGGGGTGGGAAGGGATTCCTGGACCCAATCCTACACAGATCTTGAGGGGCTGTTATATAGATTGTGATAAAATTTAAACTTTATGGACACCCTGTTTATGAGTGGAAGAAATTACATTGAAAATTGAATAGTACTGAGTGAGTATTCTAACTATATTTAACCTGTTATTTTTCCCTTTGTTTAACTCAATATTTCTAAAATGAATCTGTATTCCTTTAGAATAGGAGAAGGAAACCAAACCAACAGTGGTGTCAAACACTAGAAGGAAGGCAAACCAGACCCAGTACTTTTCACACTGATATCGTTGGCCTGCTGAGACTCCCAGCGTACTAGACAAAGTTGCTTTCCCCTTCTAGTACACTAGGGTTGTGACCACTCCTGCTTACATACATTGGCTTATTCTCCTTAAAGCCCCAGCAAATGCCACCTCTTGCATGAAGCCTTCCCTCATTCACATGCATTGGATGGATGTTGTTCTTCCCACCCTCTGCAGGATTTAGTGCTTGGGCCTGCCTGGCTCCCAGCTTCTGACACCTCATTTTACCTCATCCTGGGGCAGATCCTTTGTCCCTGCCGGAATACTCTGCTACTCCCAGTAACCAGGACTAACCACTCCCAGTAACCAGTGGTATTCAACCACTTAGATCCCCTGTTTCTGATGCTTAAGTCTCCTAACAGCTGGCCTGGCCCTGGGTGTAGCCTCCTAGGCTGCATATTCTATTTCTAAGAAGGATCAGCCAGGGCCTAGGTTCTTTCTATTCTGCTAACATAAAAGCTACTGCCAAGGTCTGGGGCCCTACCTCATGCTTGCCCGTTCGCTTCCCAAAGACCTGATCAATGCCAGGGGGCTGGGGCTCCATTCCCTGATGCCAATTTCCATCCTCCCTGGAGGGTATTCTGCTCCATGGTCACCAGTGCCTTCAGTTTACCCGATGTGACACTCTGCTACTTGGTCTTAAATGCCCACGGTCCAGAAACCATCACCAACTTCCAATACTCTTTTTGCCTATCAGACTTATTCTTTCCTCCTCTCTCTTCCAACTCCCTGGCCCTATCCCGCCTATTCTCAAGGTTCCTCCCTGCCAAGACTACGTTTTGCATGGTGCTCAGCACTGCACCACGCACTTGTTGTGCTGTTGCAGTGAGCCTGCTGCCTTACTCAATCACCAAAGCAGGCTGAAGCCACCACGTCTGAGCAGAGACACAGCATATGGCCAAGTTATGCCTGATGGAGATGGGAGGATGTGAGCCACGCACAGTAAACTTCCATAGTCCTCCGATGTCATTACTTCTCTCAAAGCAGGTGGGCTCCAGGTCCTCATCCAAGCAGCATTTGATGGAGGATAGGCCACTGACACCAGCTCCAATCACTGCAACTCTCTTGGCCATGGTATACCCTGATAGAAGAAGGGCAAGTAGAGATGTTTTATGTGACAAAGTTGGAAGGGAGCCCTTCTCATGGGACTCAATTTTTATAGTGACATCAATGTACTTCTTTCATCTTTGAATGGAGGCAGAATCATGTTCTGGTTAAAAATGCAGGCTCTGGCTCGGCGCCTGTGGCTCAAGTGGCTAAGGCGCCAGTCACGTACACCTAAGGTGGCGGGTTCAAATCCAGCCTGGGCCCACCAAACAACAATGACAGCTGCAACCAAAAAATAGCTGGG